GACAGGTCTTATTATCTACAACTGAGGAAATCAGGGCTGTGTGTCCAATGGCACAAAGGCAACAAGTGATAGAACTTTCTTTTCCTTTTATTCTGATTCTTCCTATAGTACAAATGGATATACTATGTACTATATAAGTTACATTTTTTTGTCACAAAAGCCACCGGGATAAAATGAGATTATATATTTAAAGTTTTTTTGGAAATGGATCAAACATTGCAGAAGTCTCCCCCTCCTTGGCCCGGACATGGGACAGGCACCCAGAGGGAATTTAGCAAAGGTCACATTACACGAATTCAAATATGAAAAGTCAGCTGCTATCTTTAGGTGGCCATAAATGAAATGTGGCCTTTGTGCTTCCTGTGATACAGTCATCAGATCCAAGGGGTCAGAAAGTTTGTTCCTAGACACGAATCAGGGTCGAGAGCTGGTGTCAGCCCAAGTCAAAAGTACACCCTGTACCATCTTCCAATATTTAACAGGGCACAATGACCTATGATTGACCTGCCTGTCTCTTACATGCATGTGCAGTGTTCTTATCACCTAGAGTTTTATAGTGTGACTCCTTGTTTGGCATTCATAGAGACCCAGGAGAATTGTTTCATACATTACGTGAAGAATTTGGATATATCTCTTTATCTTAATTTTCAGTCATATATTGTCATTTCAGTGTTTCCCAGAAGTTTAGGACGTATGGCAGGTGGATGAGCAAGTATTGGGTGACAGGGAACTCTTCCCAGTTCCCTTCAAATCATACCGCTTAGAAGGCACCACACGCTTTCCTGTGTCAAAGAGTCCTACAGAGCAGTCTCCAAGAAATAGAGATCACGGCATGATATAAAAATGAATTAAAATCAGAAACATGATAAAAATACCTAGGACCTCTAAGGGTTTATGAATGGTACCCCTAGAATTGTGCAGTATATAACTCACATAACTGTATACATCATCCCTAAGACTATCCTTGGTATTAACTATTCCTCTGCATTGTTCACGCCCAATATATATATATGGCCTGGTAAACTGAAACATCAGTAAGCAGGAAAATGCTTAATAAATAGCAAGTATCAGGCTATGGAGGAACAATAACTATCATTCCCTGCTGGTGGCAGTATAAATTGGTGCAGTCACCCATGGAGGTGATTTGACAGTATCAAAAATTCAAGTGTATATAATCTATGGATAATATATATAAAGTAAAAGTGAGGAAGGAAGGGATAAAACTCATTTTACATATGTAATATGGTTGTCTACCAAGAAATTTCAACAGAATTAACTGACAAAGTTTCACAAGTTTAAGAGAATTCAGTAAGGTGAGCAGACAAAATATCAAAACACAAAATAGATTTTGTACATATCAGTAAAAAATCAATTAGAAACAGTAAAGCTATAATAGAAATTGACTCTATAATATTTCCTATAACAGAAAGAAAATAAATACAAACAAAGACATCCAGCAGCATATATGTTAAAATGAGGATGGAGTACATGATAAGGGCGGCATTCAAATGGGTCGGGAAAGGGCCGACTTAACTTGGAATAAAGGACTGAAGGCCCATTTTTTTTAGGCCATAAAGGTATTATAAGAAAGTGTGCTAATACCTTTGTTATTGTCGTAATCTTGGAAGTTGGGAAGGCTTGCTTAAATAAGACCCAAAGAGCAAAATCCAAAAAGGAGAAAATTAATAAATTCAAGTAAGTCAAAATAATAATAGCAATAACACTAAAGGTAAATACTTCTGTTGACTAAAAGAATGATGTAAACAAAGTTAAAAAACAAGTGACAGACTTAGCGAGAATATTTATTATATGTACATCAAAGGATTAGCATCAAGAGTAAATATTCGGCCCCTATCAGTGAGTAGAAAAAGATGACCCCATATAAAATGAGCCAAGGATATAAATGGGTAATTAAGAAGAGGAAATGCAATGACCAAGATTTATATAAAAAGATGCCAAATCACACTAGTTGTTACAGGCTGACTTGTGTCCCCCAGTGTCTCAGAATGTGACTATGTCTCCAACTATACCTTCAAAGAGGTAATGAAGTTATTAGGGTGGGCTCTAACCCAATATGACTGACATCTGTGTTAAAAGAAGGAATTTGGACGCATAGCAAGATACCAGGAATGTGCTCACACAGCAAAATATCCAGGTGAGGACACAGCAAGACCTCGGTAGAAACAAAACCTCCCAACTCCTTGATCTTGGACTTCCAGCCTCCAGTGCTCTGAGAATACAACTGTCTGTTGTTTAAGCCACCCTGTGTGCAGTATTTTGTTATGGCAGCCCTGGAAAACTGACACATTAGTAAGCAGGAGAATTTACATAGTTTAAAAATGGGCTACTATTTTCACCCATCCAAGTGGAAAATAGTAAAGTGTTTAATAAATAGCAAGCATCAGGGTGTAGAGGAACACTAACTATCGTTCCCTGCTGGTGGAAGGATAAATTGGTGTAGGCACTGTGGAGGTGATTTGACAGTATCAAAAATTAAAATGCACATAATCTATGTGTAATACATATAAAGTTAATGAGGTAGAGCTATATCTGGATGTGGAAAGTCTCCAATTGGAAAATGGATATGGGAAAAGTTTGTTGAATAGAAAACTAGAATGAGAATAATATGACAACAAATGGTTTATTAGCACATATATGTGTATGTGAATGTAAAGGAGACTGTCTGGCAATAAATACCCCAAACTGATTACAGCAGTTACTTTTGGCTTAGGGAGAATTTAGCTTTATCTATGCTGATTCTTATCTATCTATCTATCTATCTATCTATCTTTGTTTCAAGTTTTTATTTAAAATTTAGTTAACATATAGTGTAATATTGGTTTCAGGAGTAGAATTTAATGATTCATTACTTACATTAACACCCAGTGCTCATCACAAGTGCCCCCTTAATGTCCATTACCCATGTAGCCCATCCTCCCCCCCAGCAACCCTCAGTGTGTTCTCTGTAGTTAAGAATCTATTTTACGGTTTGCCTCTCTCTCTTTTTCTTCCCCTATGTTCATCTGTTTTGCTTCTTAAATCCACATAAGGGTGAGATCATAAGGTATTTGTCTTTCTCTGACTTCTTTTTGCTTAGCATAATACTCTCTAGTTCTAGCCATGTCATTGCAAATGGCAAGATTTCATTCTTTTTGATGACTGAGTAATAGTCCATTGTATATATACCATACCTTCTTTTTTAAAACATTTTTTTTTTATGTTTTATTTTATTTCTGAGAGAGAGACAGCGTGATCAGGGGAGTATCAGAGGGAGAGGGAGACACAGAATCTGAAACAGGCTCCAGGCTCTGAGCTAGCTGTCAGCACAGAGCCCAACACGGGGCTCAAACCCACGAACTGGGAGATCATGACCTGGGCTGAAGTTGGACACTTAACCAACTGAGCCACCCAGATGCACCATACCATATCTTCTTTATCCATTCATCAGTTGATGGACATTTGGGCTCTTTCCATAATTTGGCTATTGTTGATAATGCTGCTATAAACATCGGGGTGCATGAGCCCCTTCAAACCAGTATTTTTGTATCCTTTGGGTAAATACCTAGTAGTGCAATTGCTGGATCATAAGGTAGTTCTATTTTTAACTTTATGATTCATCATTTTACAAAGAGTATGTAATCATGTGTTACATTCATAATTTTAAAAAACTATTACCTACTGACAATAGTTTTATCAGTTTTGTGGTTGTTTATTATGTTTGTTCCATAATAATTGAAGAGTAAGTTGATAGTTTGAGACTAGGAGTTGGCAAACTTTTCCTGTAAAGGGCCAGATAGTTAATATTTTAGGCTTTGAGGGCTATACTCCACTCTGCTGTCCTAAGGCAAAAGCAGCTGTAGATGATACATAATTAATGAGCATGGCTGTGTTCTAATAAAACTGTACTTATAAAAATAGTTGGTGATTCCGATTTGGCTTGTGAGCCATAATTTGCCACTCCCTGGTGTAGACTGTTCATTATATAACTAAGACATATTTTTAAAGTATATTTTTAAGATGAGTATTTTTGGTATATGGAAAAATTAATCTTTCCTATTAGATAACTAATTAAATAAGTAGTAGCCTCTAGGGCCTTGCTTAGAATATTTGGACTCTGGGCATATCATCAGAGATCAAAGGCCCATCCCAGTGGAAATAATCCTGTCACCTTGGCGGTCTTGGTGCTGACCGTTGACTTTCCCAGAGTCACACAACTAACCCATGTGGGAGTGGTATAGTGCCTGTCACAGCTGACTCACTGAATTGAGGTTCAATGCCCTCAGAGGCGACTCCTGACCATCCCCAGATGTGGTGTTGCCTTAAAGCCTCTGGTCATAGCCTCAGCCAGGATGGGCTGTGATATGGGAAGAAGGAGGGCTTGGGGGCACCCAGCACATGTAGGAGAGGTTTTGTCTGTGGGACAAGGTGCATACTCTGGCGGGTAAATGTAGAAAACTCACTGACCCAAAGCCAACTCAGCCCTAGGACTGGATAGGGGTTTGAAAAAGCCCCTGAGGGACCCCTCCCTGAGGTGGTGTGGCCCTGTGACTCATGCTATTGTGTCTCAGCCTTGTTCCGAGGGCTGCCAGTTCCCTCAGCGGCTGGAAGGAACCCGGACTGAGTCGTTCCCAGCTCCCCCAGTCCCCCGCACCTTGGTATTTTCTGGATCTGGAGACAAACCCTGGAACAGAGAGGGGGCCGATTATATGTTTGACTCATCATGGCTGGTACAAGATTGGCATTTCCAGTGATTATTTCTTTAGGAGGCACTTGCATGATCAGGGAGCATGGTTAATGGAACTCTGTATTAAATGATTATCTTCATGTTTTTTTTCCATCCTGGAAATGCAAACAGCAGCAAGGCCAACAGGATACACAACCCTCTCTGATGCTGCCCTCAAAGGTTAAGATATATTTGTGTTCCCACACTTCTTTTGCAGGGAGCTGGCGTGTGGGTGTGCAGTCTGCCCCCAGCAAAAGAGAAAGAAAAAAATCCATACCTGCTTGGTGGCAACTTCTTTGCTGTGACTTCTCCTTTGGGGTCCACTAGGAGAATAACTAGGAACAAAGGATCACTCAAAACCTCTGTACCCCTGAAGTCGCTGCCTTGGTGAAGACTGGAACATTAAACTTTTGCTTTTCGCAGTAGCAAACACTTCGCCTGGGCAGAGGCTGTGGCTCCTGTCGAAAGTAAGGCAGTGCTTCCTCTTTCCTAGTTATAGGTTATTTCCTAGAATGTGAGCCAATCTTCTCTCTCACCTACATTTCAGTCCAGGTCAGATGTAGGCTCTGAATGGCCTCCATCTGGCACTCCTAAGTCCCAAGTCCAGAGCTCCAACTAGCAAATGAACCTACTACCGTATTTACTCTCATTATGTGCCCCTACTTTTTTCTGTCTCATGTCTTCACTGTAAAATACAGGAGACCGGGAGGAATATTGCAAGTATCTGCTTTGTCTAACTGATTCTGAGAAAATTCATGCATCTGAGGGTCTCTGTGCTGTTGCCTCTTGAAGAAAGTTAATTCAAATTTAGATCTCCTAACACTTCTTCCTTTGTCTAAGCCACCTTCCTGGATAGTGTTACTTGACCTGAAAGTGAACCAAGTACTGGATGGTGAGTGAGGGCCGGTATGTTTATGTAAGAGAGGGACACACAGGGAGAGAGAAAAAGGGAAGAATGAGGGGTCTGAGCCCATTGCAGGGGAGTGTGACCTGCAGCTCAGCCTCAGTACTGATGGCTGATCAGGAGCCACAGAATGGCCCCAGAGAAAGGGTCCAAGGCTCTGTCCTCCAGGTTTGGCCAGAGCCAGCAGCTACCCATGCATCTGCCTGATCATTTATGTTCCCTGGCAGCAACCTGATAGCATTCTAGCTCTCAAGGGAAAAGAATAGACACAAGCCAAAAGCGGTAGGTTTCACAGGCTATGTTTCTTCTACTTGCTTTGTTTTAAAAGATGTTTTGTGGCTAACATGAGGAGTGGACTAGGTACATGCTTCTGCCAACAGTAAAGCTGGGTCATTGGGGGAGGAAGAAGGGGAGGAGGAAGTGTGTGTGGGGGGGAACTGATCAATTATATGGGTAGGAATAAGAACTGAGGATTTCCAAACAATCATCACAGACTTCTTGGGAAATTTTGGACTCCTTTACACTTGTTTCTGATTTAAATTATTTTTATCTTGAATTAATGTTTTAATCAAGCTTTCCTATTAAGAAAAGCAAGAATAAGTATCCATTTGTTTTTGTGTTTTAGTTGAACTGGTTTCTTCTCTTCCACTCAAATTGGAGGATTGGAGCCTAGGGTCAACATTCATCACATGGTTTGCTCTCAACCAAATGCAGAAGTAAGATGGTGCACATATCTCTCTGTCAGTGACCATCAGCCAGCAGTGGTGAATAGGACCCACGGATATGGGGACTCCTCTCTTTCAGTCCAGTTTTTGTCTGTCTGGGGGATTCAGCAAGGGCTGGGAAGCATTGGATTATAAATCCCACTTGTTGGGAGGTTGACTTGGGCCTTAGACAGGGAGTATCTAGAGGGGCTGAAATACTGGATTGGGGTCCCAGTGGAAGCAGCCTATCTAGTGTGCCCTTGCAGCTGTATCTGGGGCCTGGTGGCATATCTGGTACCCAGCAGATGACCAGTAGGCCACAACCACAGGGGGTGGGAAGACTGAAAAGGGTTAGGAACTCACTCCAGGAAACTTTTATCTCCGAGGTTAAAAGTAGGCCTTTCTGGGAGGACAGAGGATTTCTAATGTGGTGAAAATACTCTTGTATGATATATAATGGTGGATACTTGTCAATATACACTTATCCACATGCATAAATGCACAACATCAAGAATGAACTCTAAACTGTAGACTTTGGGTGATTATGATGTTCAGTGTCAGTATTTTGATTGTATCAAATGTACCATTCTGGTGGTAGATGTTGGGCAGGCTATGAGGCTTTGTGTGTGCAGGAACAGAAAATATATGGGGAATCTGTGTACCTTCCTCTCAACTTTTTTGCGAATCCATGACTACTCAAAAAAAAAAAAAAGGTTTTAAAAAGGCATTTTTAGGGTCCAGGAAAAAAAAAAAGGCAGGATCCCAGCTCAAGTGGGGCAGCTTGCCAGAAGTCCTTGGGATGTGGGCAAAATACATAGCTTTCATCATCTCTCAAATCTCTCCTGGCTCACAAGGGCCTGGCCTTATCTCACTTAGAAAAATGTTGAATTATTTACAGCATAAACAGGGAACTAAGAACAGGTTATAAAATCACTGAGGCAAAGAAACTATTCTCAGGTTCTGCAGGGATCTTCTGGGTCTCTTGTAAGCTCATGGACCAGAAGACAGAAAGAAGGCTGTGGGATTGTCTGGTCTCTACAGTCTGCGAGCACAGCCTCAACATTAGGCATGCCTCTAAGCTAAGAAAACAGCTGGAGAAGACACTGTAATTAAGGGCAGCGTACAGATGCCCCACAATGAGGGTCTGAATCAGCCTCGAGCATGGCAGTTTCCTGGAGAAATTCGAGTCTCTGACCTCCGTTCTACACATTGTCTGTTGCAGCAACCAGAAACATGGAGCTCCTAAGCCACTCTTCAGAGGAAAGCAGATTTGATTACCCTAGGGGATTTCCTTAGTGTGAATTCATGAAATGTGTTACCTGGTCAAGGAGTATTTATATTTAGAAAGAACAACAAAGCTAGTCTACTAAAAGAGTGTTTCACTAGCAGAGGAGTCTGAGGAAAACAGGTGTTTATCAACCAGGCAAGTAGTCCTTCTCAAAATCTCAGGATTTTTCTGGGATGTGCTCAGATAGGTGGTGAAAGCTTAGGGTCTTCTCAGGTCTTTTCTGAACACGTGTTCTGACCTGGGCAAGCATGTTCTTTTCTAAATCTTTCTTTGTATTTCTGTGGTGTTGGTTGTTATTTCTCCTCTTTCATTTCTCGTTTTGTTTGAGTCCTCTCTCTTATGAGTCTTCCTAAACGTTTATCAATTTTGTTGATTTCTTTTCAAAGCAGCAGCTCCTGGTTTCATTGACCTATTGTATTTTTTAAAATTTCTATTCTGTTTATTTCTGCTCTAATCTTTATTATGTCCTTCCTTTAACTGGTTTGGGGTTTCATTAGTTTTTTTTAATGTTTTTTTAAAAAATTTTAATGCTTTATTATTTATTTTTGAGAGAAAAAGAGACAGAGCATGAGCAGGGGAGGGTCAGAGAGAGAGAGGAAGACAGAGAATATGAAGCAGCTCCAGGCTCTGAGTTGTCAGCATGGAGCCTGAAGTGGGGCTCAAACTCACAAACCACGAGATCATGACTTAAGCTGAGGTCGGACGCTTAACTGACTGAGCCACCCAGGTGCCCCTTGTCTGTTCTTTTTCTTGCTCCTTTGCTGGAGATTTTTCTTGCTTCTTGAGGTAATCCTGTATTACTATAAACTTTCCTCTTTTTTAATTTAAATTCTGGTTAGCTAATATACATTGTAATATTAGTTTTAGGTATACATCATAGTGACTCAGCACTTCCATACAACACAACTCTTATACTTCCCTCTGACAATCTCTTTTGCTGCATCCCAAAGATTTTGGACCATTGTGTTTTCATTTTCATTTGTCTTCGTGTATTTTTTAAATTTCCTCTTCGATTTCTTGGTTGACTCATTCATTGTTTAGTAGCATGTTATTTAACCTCTGTGTATGTGTGTTCTTCCCAGATTTTGCTTGTGGTTGTTTTCTAGTTTCATAACATTGTAGTTGGAATAGATGCATAATATGATTTCAAACTTTTTGAATTTGTTGAGACTTGTGGCTTAACGTGATATCTTCTGGAGAATCTTCCATGTACACTTGGAAAGAATGTGTATGCCACCGATGTGATGTTTTGAATTTCTCAAATCCATCTGGTTCAATGTGTCCTTCAAAGCCACTGTTTCATTATTGATTTTCTGTTTGGATGATCTACCCACTGATGTAAGTGAGGTGTTAAATTTCTTGACTATTATTGCATTACTATCAACTACTTTCTTTATGTTTATTATTAGCAACTTTCTGCATTTGGGTGGTCGCATGCTGGGTGCAGAAATATTTATGATTGTTATATCTTGTTGGATCATTCCTCTTATAATTATATAATGTCCTTCTTTGTCTCTTGCTACGGTCTTTGTTTTAAAGTCTATTTTGTTGATAGAAGTATTGCTAAGCTGGCTTTCTTTTTACTTCCATTTGCATGGTTAATGTTTTTCCAGCCCTTCACTTTCAATCTGCATGTGTCTTTAGGTCTGAAATGAGTCTCTTGTAGGCAGCATATATATATATATATTGGTCTTTTTTTTTTTTTTAGTTATTTTTATTTATTTATTTAAGTAATCTCTACACCCAATGTGGAGCTCAATCTTGCTTCTCTATCCATTCCATTACCCTATGGCTTGTGATTGCAGTATTTAGTCCATTTACATTCAAAATAATTATTCATAAGTATGTACTTATCTCCATTTACTACTTTTTTATGTTTATTTTTGTAGTTTTTCTCTATTTTCTTTTACTCTCTTCTCTCATGGTTTGCTGGAATTCTTTAGTGATGCACTTGGGTTCCTTTTTATTTTTTGCATATCTATCACTGGTTTTTGATTTGTTGTTAACATTGGGTTGGTATATAACATCTCTGCGTATAGCACTCTACATTAAATTGATGGTTGCTTAAGTTTGAATCCATTCTAAAAGCACTAAATTTTTACACTTCTTCCCCTACATTTTAGGTATATAGTGTCATGCTTTACATCCTTTTGTGAGTCCTTTGAATGATTTTTATAGATATACTTAATTTTACTGCTTTTGTGCTTACTACTTTTCTTATTCTTTTTTTTTAAAATGTTTTATTTATTTCTAGGAGAGAGAGAGAGAGAGACAGCGTGAACAGGGGAGGGTCAGAGAGAGAGGGAGTCACAGGCTGAAACAGTCTCCTGGCTCTGAGCTGGCAGTCAGCACAGAGCCCGATGCGGGGCCCAAATCAAAGAACCGCGAGATCATGACCTAAGTGAAAGTCGGACGCTTAACCGACTAAGCCACCCAGGCGCCCCTACTTTTCTTATTCTTGCTTATGGTGTTTCCTTTCCATTCAAAGAGCCCTCTTTAACATTTA